ATTTTAGCATAGTTTTTATTTTGTAAACCACATTTAGTCTCGTTTTTATTCGTCAACAATATTGCATTATACATTTAATTATAGTCATCATCACATGACCAGCATTTACGTTGCGTCTCGTCTCGGTTTCGTCACGTGATAAAGGTTCGTTGACGACGATATTTAGTCATAATTTTCGTTGACGAAAGCAACACTACCATTTGGTGCGTTGAACCATTGGCCATAGGCGCGTTGGATTTGAAGCAGCGCTGCACAGACCGATTGGTGTATGACATCAAAGTACCGCAAGAGCGATTCAAAAGCATCCAAAGTCTGATCTCTATAGGCTTGTTTGAGATGCGCTTCGCCTTGCCTCGCCTGAAATGTAGGCGAGAGTAGGCAGCTGCAATGAGGGGAGGAGTGAAATAAGCGCAGGCAAGATGGATAGTTGACCTCTCGAATTGGAACAGATACCTACGAGATCAAAGGCGGATATCGCGTTATTCTCACTCACGTGCTGTGTTGCTAATAAACATGATATAATTTCAGTTCTGTTGCTTTTATATGAAAATAAATATGATGATCAAGACCCTCAAAGTGCTTGCTATTTAATTCCATACGAAAAGTGTATTTATCATCTATTTTTACTTGAATACAAACATGTATTTTCGATTTTTATAGGAATATGACAACAATCACATTATCTCACACAGAGATCGCACTGTCATAGTGTTTGGAATATTCATGCATAATTTAAATACATAATCAGATAAAAAAATCAAATATTTTAGAAGAGAACGCAGTATCACAGTTGTCTGAACCAATGAGCATTAAGCTGTGTCGTCTGTCAGTCGTTTCCCATCATGCTTTTGGTCAGCGCAGTCGGGGGAGAGCAACTGTGCTCGGCTGCATATTATCTCACACAGAGATCGCACTGTCATAGTGTTTGGAATATTCATGCATAATTTAAATACATAATCAGATAAAAAAATCAAATATTTTAGAAGAGAACGCAGTATCACAGTTGTCTGAACCAATGAGCATTAAGCTGTGTCGTCTGTCAGTCGTTTCCCATCATGCTTTTGGTCAGCGCAGTCGGTGGAGAGCAACTGCGTCTGACTTGCTCTGATGTCATGCTGACGTGTGCCAAAAAACTCGCGACGTGAGGCGGCTGTGTCGGATTGTGCAGTCGAGCGCAGTTGAAAAGAAAGAAAGACAGTTGATCCTGATTGGTCCTCTTGTGTGCATTCAAAGTGCTTATTGGCTCACACATAGAACCTTATAGAACCAAGTTAGAGTTCGACTTTGTAGATAGAACCTTTTCGTTTTATAAATAAAAAGTCCTAAAATGTGCACAACTTAATAAAAAAAAAAAAAAATTCACATAATGTAAATGTCACAGAATAAGAATATGTGAATAACTCAATTTCGACAAAAATGTCAGATAGAACCTTATAATTCCAAGGCGACGATTTGCACTGGAAAACAAGACAAAAATACTGATGAAGAACAGCACTTTTTTCCCCCACTGTGATCAGTAGGTGCAGAAAATATATTTTCATATTTTGTCAAATTAATTAAAAAGTAATACAGATCTGTTGGAAGTTGAAGTGTTTCTAATATATTTACATTTATACCACATTGTGTCACATTTAATTTATTCCTTATATTTTCTTTACTCTGTCTTAAAGTCTTACATTTAGATTCTTAACTCCCGCAGAAGCCCTGTTTTATATACAACTCGTTCTGAATACTGTAACCTAACCATAACAGACAACATTTAGCATTTTTACAAAAAAAAAACAAAAACAATGTTTTTATTTTTTTTATTTTGTGGTTTTTGCCAATGAGAATGTCGCTTAAAGCTGTTTTTTGAAAAGTTTTATCAGGTTTATCTCACTTCTGGGAGCAAAATTAGTTCAAAAAAAAAACAAAAACAATGTTTTTATTTTTTTTATTTTGTGGTTTTTGCCAATGAGAATGTCGCTTAAAGCTGTTTTTTTAAAAGTTTTATCAGGTTTATCTCACTTCTGGGAGCAAAATTAGTTTTATTTTTGAGTTTTCACTCTGTTAATCATTCACAACACATCCAAAACACATTTCAGCTCAGCTGATGAGTATCGCTTGTGTTGAAGCTTTGAACACACTACTGAGTCATTTAGAACCATTATGAACCGACACAAATGAATCAATCAATTCATTCATAAACACAAACAGAGATTCACACACTCAGACATCGGCATGGTGCTCTGCTGTATGGACAATGAATTCATCGCATCATGCAAGTAAAACGAGTTGTGAATGTTTCATTTGGCCTTTCTGGAACAGAAAGATGTTTCTCCATCAGATGAACTGAATCGCATCTTTGCAGTCTGTCAGAGGTTGTGATTTTACAGTGAAGTGTCTCAAACTCCCAAACTCTCAGTGAAGTTTCTTCAGTGAGTGTGAGTGTGTCAGATGTGACTCGCTCGTTATTTAGACGCTTTTTACTTCACCTGCGCTCTGGAAACACTCTGTTTGACGACTAGGCCTCCAAACTACAGCAAAACATCTGAGTGAACGTGGAGCAGTTAGTGAGGAGATCAGAGGAGGAATGTCAGTCAGAAACGCCTTCAGAGATCCTTACATCCTTCGCATGTCAGGAAGTTCTGCTCCTGGAAAGTTCGTCCCCAAACGCAGCTCATCTGCTCTTTGTTTGCATGTGAAGTTGTAACTCAAGGAACGAAGTTGAAGAATTTATGGCTTATTGCAGTTTTTGTGATGAAGCTGAAATAGAGACAGATTCCCTTCTGATCCAGCACTGCTGGCTTGATTTGGTCAGAGATCTTTCAGGCTGATTGTCTTGTGAAGGGCAGATGTGTGTGTTTTGTGTTTATTGTGCTGTATATCTGAGTGTTAAGCCATGTTCTGTGTGTGTAAGGCATGAGGATCCTGGTGAATCTGCTGCTGGACACGCTGCCGATGTTGGGGAACGTGCTGCTGCTGTGCTTCTTCGTCTTCTTCGTCTTCGGCATCATCGGTGTGCAGCTCTGGGCTGGACTTCTGCGCAACCGCTGCTATCCGGAGGAGAACTTCACCCTGTGAGTCCCGGCTCGTCTTCATCCTGATTTAGCCTTAGTCAGGTTTTAGTTGACTAAAAATCTGGGAGTTTTAGTCTATTAAAACACATTTTAGTCAGGATGCATGGTTAAACTGATAATCACAATTATTCAACTCATAATTACAGTAGTGGTCAAAATTGTTAGAACACCTGGCAGATCTGAAAATATTGACCTTTTTTGCCTCCAAAACATGATTTTATTTCATGATGTTCATGAAGCATGCAGATGGTTGCTCTGAGCACACCAAATGTCAGATGAAGTGAGTCGTACTGTTTTTATCCAACTTTAATATTTGGTATGTGCACCTTTTGCAGCAATTACAGCAGCACATCTCTCTGGCATAGTGTCAATATATTTCCTGAGAACTTCAACACTAATGTTATCCCATGCCTTCTGCAACTCAAGCCAAAGTACAATAGATCTGTGCAGTTTATTTTCCAACTCGCCCCGAATTTGCTCGATGGGGTTGAGGTCCGAAATTTGAAGGGCCAGTCCATCATTTTTAGTTCCGGCAATAGTTCTTTTTATGGGTATCATAATGACCAAATCAACAAAAAAAAATTAAACCTCTTAAATATGCCAAGTGTTCTAATCATTTTGGCCACCACTGTATAATCGCAATTACTGACCATGATTGTTGTAATTTGAGAAAAGGCATCAGAATTATTGCACTTTCACCTATAAGCACAAATCAAGAGACTGTCAACTCACACACACTTGACTTCATCTAGTTTCCTGATTTGATTTATTATCAGAAATATAAACACACTCTCGACATTATGAAAACTGCTAATGCTTCTCTCAAAAGCTTCCTAATATTAATTCTAAGAATTCCAAATTTATTCATGTCTTTATCTATTAAAACAGCAACAGGCTTTGTTTTGTGGCATGGATTTGTGTAAGTGCATTTATTTAGCCTCAATCAGAAACTATACTATCAAGATTGGATTTAATTCGTTTTTATTAAATTATTGTATTGCATTTATAATATTTTGCCATGAGCGCAAACGGCCGTGTGAATGAACACTGAATGAAAGACTGGCTGTATGACACTATTGTTTAAGCAGAATATCTCAATAGATGTCAATAAACTCCAGCTTGCATGATGTTTTCAGATCATCAGCACTTTTTTTCAAATGCAGAGAGAGTGTGTGTGAATGGTTGCCAGGTCGGGAAGATAAATAAAACACAGGGCAGAAAATGTGTCCTTTTGAGAGAGAAGCTCTGATTGGAGGATTAGGGTTAGGGTGCAAGCATAAAAAAACTTTTTTTTTTTTTTTTTTTTTTTTTTAATGAAGAAAATACATCGAAATTTTGCAGAGATTTTGTTTTGTGAATTACATTTTTGTCTTTTTTTTGTTTAGTCTTTTTAAATTAATGATATTGCATGTTGATATAGTCACAGTTAGAGTTTAATGATGTCAGTGTCATCTCGTCTCATCTTTGTCATAGAACAAAAAGTCATCAACATATTTTTCGTCATAATTTTCAATAACGAAGCACAATCAGTAGCTTCTCCTGTGCTGGTTTTCATCCTGCTGCTCGTGGTCTGGATCTTTCTTCCTGGTTTCTGATGGATGGTGAGTTTCTGCTTTATATGATTACTCTGTGATCTCCAGCGGTGAACTGCGCATCTCTGAAGGCTCTTCTGGGGTTTGAACCTCCAGTGTTGATGGTCGTGCTGATCTTTCTGGTCTTCAGAAGTGTAAACTCAGAGCGTTTATTGAGCCTCAAGAGGGTTGGAGACATTTGTGAAGCTGTCGTGATGATCCCTCATTAGAGCACACTGCAGATCCCTCACTAGAGTGCACAAAGCGTCCAGTGTTACAGAGCTGCTTCAGAGAAACTGATCAATGTTAATGATTGAGGAACAATAGCAGAGTCTGTCATCTGTTTGTGTCTCAAGAATAAGTGATTTGGAAGCAATTGCTCATTGACAATGGGTTAAGAAAATACAAAATAGAGTTTCATGGCTTGTAAGAAATACTTTTGGCTGGTGAATCATCTCGATTCACTCATGCAATGGAAAAAAATCTTGTAATGTAACAGAAGCAGCGACTGACTTTTAATTTGGTATTATTATGTACATCCAAATGCAACAGATTATTTAAAAAAAAGCTATGATATTTTAATAAAATTGAGGTCAAAACTATTTTTGCAAAAATGAAACACATGCACAAATTAATCATTCACAATAAGATCAATAACATGCATCTAGAAAACCGATAAGCTTGTCTGTTTTCTAAATGCATGCTATTGATTTTATTGTGAATGATTCATGTGCGCATATATGAATTCAAACTTTAGTATCGTTCAGCTGTGATCTGATAAATGCAACTATTAGGCATGAAGATATTAAGATATTATAAACATCAACATCATGATTTTCTGTAAAGCTGCTTTGAAACGGTGTGTGTTGAGAAAAACGGCATGCAACTCAATTTGACTTGACTTTAATGATTCTAAAAATGGTAAAATATGCTTTCATATTTCTTTCTGTTGATTCCGGGGTGAAATGTGAGATTCCCGGTCTCTCTCTGTGGTTCCTCTAATGCTCCTCTGTGTGATGAGTAATGGCGCGCAGCAGGGGCTTCTGGGAGAATTATGTCTCTGACCTTGTTATGTCACGGATGTGGCGGCTGTGATAATGGACGGTGTGTGTTTCAGCGCTCAGGAAAGCAGCAGTCTCCAGAATAAACACTTCAGTGTTACTGTGAGGTCAGTCGCACCTGTAGTTCACGACACACATCTGACACGCAGGACTTGATGAAGACTGATGAAGACATCTGCTGGATGAGAAGAACATCAATCTTAGATGAACAGCTCCTTTGCAGAGCGACAAAGTCAGCATAAAATGGAAATTCACCCATTTATTTTCTAAATGCATGTTATAGATCTTATAGTGTAGGATTCATCTGTGCATATCTTTCGTTGTTTGGTGGAACTTTACAATAAGGATCCATTTATTCACATCAGTTACATTTATTAATATTAGTACACTACCAATGCATAAGAAAAGATCTGTCGATACTGGCATTTCATTGCAACTTTAAAGGAATAGTTGACCCCAAAAAGCATCGCATCAGTGTCTCTGCAGTGAATGGGTGCTGTCAGAATGAGAGTCCAAACAGCTGATAAATACATCACAATAATCCACACCACTCCAGTCCATCAGTTAACATATTGAGAAGACAAAAGCTGCGTGTTTGTAAAAAAAAAAACTTCACTTTTGGGTGAAAAATTCCTTTAATTCAGCTCTATTGTGAGTCTTGTTTGAGACGTCTTGGACAAGAACGTACTCCATCTTAGTCATGTTGTGTTCCCACGTTCCCTCCAGTCTCCTGCAGATCTCTAATCTGCTGTCTTACTTCTGCTCTATTTTTACACATCTCTGTCCCATCGCTCTTTAGCAGAGCCCACTGAACCCTGCAGCACACTGGAGAACAGCAGCTCAGAGCAGCTTTAATAATGACTGACTGTCCTCAGCGACGCTGAAGCTCTGAAACCAGCTGGATTCCAGCAGAGATCACAAACAGAACCTGAACCCCGACAGTGCTGAGGAGAGAATCTCTGATAAATACACTACTGTTCAAAAGTTTGGGTTTAGTAGTATTTTGGAATGGTTTTGAAAGGGCTGCATTTATTTGATCAAAAACACACTTTAAAATAACTGTTTTCTATGTGAATATCTGTTAAACTGTAATTTATTTCTGTTCCGGTGTACCAAAATTACTCCAAGAGCACAACGACGACTCATCCAGGAGGTCATAAAAGAACCCAGAACAACATCTAAAGACCTGCAGGCCTCACTTGCCTCAATTAAGCTAAGTGTTCATGATTCAACAATAAGAAAGAGACTGGGCAAAAACAGCATCCATGGGAGAGTTACAAGTCAAAAGCCATTGCTGACCAAAAAGAACACAAAGGCTCGTCTCACATTCGCCAAAAAATATCTTGATGATCCCCAAGACTTTTGGGTAGTGTTGTCAAAAGACCCAGTATTTCGGTACCAAGTCAGTACTACAAAAATGAAAACGTTACGGTACCAGGTTTTTTTAAGTACCGGTGGTACCGAGTACCCGGTCAACCCGGTTCTTGATGC